CCACGCTCTTCCGATCTCTCCCAGAGTCACAAGATATATATATATATATATATATATATATATACTTTAATTTTCTAAGTGGCATAAGCAGAGGGAAAAGGTATTTGGAGTGAGGTCACTGATAGAGAAAATCAAACAAAAAATAACTCACAGTTCACCATTGTGTAATAGTGTGCCTGTAAATATATCTGTAAGTGCTGTATTTTATATTTTATCGTTGACTTTGATCCTGGTCCCTTAAAACAGTTTGATCATGCCAAAAAAGAAAAGAAAAAGAAAACTATCGGAAACGTTGAAAATAACAACAACCATTTCCAGACCTGACACCTAGAATGGACATTGTTACAGCAAGATTTCCCAAAGCGGGTGAGGATTTTTTGTCATACATTCTGTTTCAAGCCTTAGGCTGGGATGGATGGTTACAGCAAGAAGGGGATACATTCATCAATCTTATACCGGAGCTGTGATCAAATTAGAAAGGATTTGAATTTGCTGAGCAGTTTAAGGAGTCTTATAGAAAAATATCAAACTGTGAAACACTTCAATGATTTCTTCACTTCTTTAAAAAGGAGGTAATGGGCACTGACGCTCCTGCAGCAGTCCTCGTTGTGTAAAGTTGAAAGGGTTGGCTCGCAGGGCAGTGAACGCTACTGCACATGTGTTTGTTGGGCTGCAGACGTGTGGAGGAGAGTGTGCCAAAGTGGAACGTGCAGGACAGTCAATGGGCTACTGGTTGGTTTTACTTCAAATGGCTGCCACACGTTTTTATCTTCCTCTAAATACCTCTCTGCATCACTACCTTAGTCATGCCATTAACTTAAACTAGCCCTCTGTGGAGTCCGGGAAACTGATTTCACTGCCGAAAACCTCTCGGTACAAAGGAGGAAAAGTGTACGCCGTCTCAGGGTGAACCAGACGGAAAAACTCCAGCTTGTCAATGTGTAGGTTGCAAATGGACCTCATTATGGGAAGCTTGGACACCATCTAGGATTAAAAATAAAGAAGGAGGTCAAATAAGAGGAGAGAGAAAAATATATATATACCGTACTTTTTGTATTATAAGGCTCATTAAGCGAAACAAGTTCATTTTGACAGATTTTTGAGCGCCGTGTACCACATAAAATAGGTTCGAGGTCAATAAGGCACACCTCATTATAAGGCTCACTGGATTTGTGAAACAATTAAAGGATTTAAAGCGCGCCTTACAGTCCGAAAAATATGTTAGATGCAGCATTTGCACAAAGTTACCTTGGCTAGCTTCTCTTCTGACACGCCCTCTTTCTGCAGACATCGCTGCAGACCCACAAACACGTTCTCCTGCAGCTTCCGGATCTTCTGGACATCTGTCAGCCATTGTCGGTCTGAAAGACAAAAAGGTTGATCCCATTATTATTATTATTATCATCGTCGTCATCGTCATCATAATCGTCATCATCATCACACTATGAAGAAGAATCAGAATGTAGTGTTGTTAAAATAAACATATCCAGAAGCAGAAACTTAAGTCTGGGTTTTTTGTAAGTGTCTTTTTAAGAAGCCATACGTCAGTCTTAGAGCACGGAGTATGGGGGAAAGTGCCGAAGTCTTCCTCCATGGTAATGGGTGGCAAAAGGAGGGCTCAACTTACAAAGTTTTTTTTTCAGGCCTATAAAAAGCTCTTTCCTATAAACAACATACTGGTATGAAACAATATTTGCTAATAAACCTCCAAACTCAAAAACATTTAGCACCTCTGGAGATCAATGTTTGGGTTGTAACACGCAAGTTGTTCGATAGAGATGGTGATAAACTAAAACAGAATGTCATGTAAAAGTGTAGAGGTTTGATATTAGCTAATATGACATTCTTTACAGATACAGATATACTTTATTGATGTTCACACCACATGTGGTACATGTAGTCGAGTGAAATTATGTACACAGGGTGCCATTACATCCAACAATAAAATGTAAAAGAAAAACAGTAATAAGATCTAAGTTATGAACTATGAAAAACATCATCTAAATATACAATAAGCACTAATAGCATTAAAACAATAAAAAACAATATGCTGAAAAGCAGCATACACATGAGTCTGTGTGAGCAGATGAGCACGCATGGACACAGCAACATGAAACAGATCAGCAGCAACATGAAACAGATCAGCAGCAACATGAAGTGATTTTCACAGTGATTATTCTGGTTAGAGATTCATGAGTCTAACAGCCTCAGGGTCGAAACTGTTCCTCAGTCTAGTGGTTCTACACTTAATGCTCCTCAACCTCCTTCCTGAGGGGAGCGGGGCCATAAGTGTGTGTGCTGGGTGAGTGGGGTCCTTCATGATGCAGGTGGCCCTCTTCCTGCATCTAGAGGTGTAAACGTCTGTGATGGTGGGGAGACTGACTCCAACAGACTTCTGTGCAGCCTTCACTACTCTCATGCGGGTATGATAATTTTGAAAAAGAGTTGTTTTATAACCCTAAAAGTAATATAGGCCTGGTTTAGCTAGCCATTAGCCTAGCTTGAATAAAGACTTACAACATTATGACTTATAAGGAACTATTTATAACAATTTGACAGAGCATCACTATAAAATTGGTAAAACTGTTTCCTCACTTAAAACAGGTCACGTCACAATGTTCATGACTTCTAAGGATGTTTAAACAAGAATGACATTTTTCTCTCACTTGAAAAAATACTTAGTAAAAATTTGCATAAAAACAAATGTTCCTTGATTACTAATATGAATCATGTCCATAACGTGCATGCCAACAGCGTCTTCAGTTTCACGTAACATCACTGAAGGTGTGCCAGTCGCCTCTGGTGCTACGGCGGCTGTTTAAAAGCTCGATGTCAGAGGAAGTGCAAGTGGATTCCTGTCATGAGTTACAAACAAGTTTATAGCCTGAAAGGTAGGTGTGCTATAATTCTTGACGTGTCCTGGAAAATGTCCAACAGCCAAATATGCAAATTTTCCTTATAGATATGAATCACGAGGTTTATTTTTTTTCTGTACGGTGTCCTAAAATGACTTCAGCTGTGAAGTGGTGCTGGATTAACGAACGAAATTGAACTGTGTGTAATCAACAAAATACATGCTCTCATTTAACAAAGCTCTTCACTGAAATTTACTATGTTCCGAAAGTATTTTATCATTAACTTGTGCTGTTTTATTAACTGCAACTAAATGCTACACAAAAAATTAAATAAATGTTATAAACCAATTATTCATTTTTTGTGTGTACTTAAGTTTACTTAAGAAAAGGTTTTTGACATCAGTAGGATAAAGTTCAAAGATGAACTAAAATGAATTACCAGTACATGATAAACTACTGTGGATTACCACCAATTAAAAAAAAAAAA